TTTATGTTAGTCTGATCACACTCATTACAAAACCTACTAAACCAAATCATACCGTCATATCTCTGCTAAGAGATAACCCTATTTGTTTGTATTAATAACTGGACAATGTTGCTACAATATCAGCAAAAGGCCTGAGACCGTTTTATTTGTTATTTCATTATGCAGTATGTTGCAATATAAGCTCTTGTGAGAAGTATGCTTTGTTTTATGCTGACGTGGTTCATGGAATACCCAAGGACAATGTGTATGATGATATGCCCTAGTTAAATCTATCTTGTGCGATAATATTTGACCAAATCCATCAATAGATGGTATGACCTACTTAAATTCTTCTATTGAAGATGGGGACTAATTAAATCTGTCTTGATGATATGACCTACTTAAATGTCTTGATGATATGACCTAGTTAAAGTGATGATGTGATGATAAGACTTAATCAAATCCATCTATCGATGATAGGGCCTACATAAATCCTTCTCTTGACACTGGGACCTAATTAAATTTGTCTTGATGATATGACCTACATAAATGTCTTGATGATATGACCTAGTTAAATTGATCATGTGATGATAGGACTTAACCAAATCCATCTATCTTTGATAGGGCCTACATAAATCCTTCTGTTGATTTTGGGACCTTACTCAATCTATCTCCCTTTAAGTCTTCATATATATATATATATATATATATATATATATATATATATATATATATATATATATATATAGAGACACAGATATATATATATATATATATATATATTATGGTTACCACATAATGATCTGGACGGTTTATAAAAATCTCTTCTGTGAAAGTTTAAAAGTTGCCTTCTTCAAAAACTCGATGCATATTTTGGTACCATAACGTTATTTTCCATTTTACATATCAGTTGTTAGATAACCAACTTACATAATCAATACCGTTAACATTTTCATTGTTACAGGCTTCAGTTGGTGTGATATCTATTACTCTGTGCTATATATTATTGTAGACATCATTGAGGTCAGGTAATATATCTACCCATTTTCTGATTTCATTTGAATGAAATATTTTTTAAAAAAGTTTAAGATTTATTTTAAATCTTGTATAACATACCTTTATGTCAGAGAATGAAGATCAAATATTCCATATTTTTCATTCGCAGTAATTCATCAACCCTTCGGCAAACTTTTAAACTTTTCTCCTTTCATCTATATTTTACCTGCTTTCATTCGTGTAAGACATTTTTAATGTCATCCTTTATGTGTCTAACATTTTTTGTTTTCACTTTCTTAGCCCAAGAGATACTGCAAAGACATCAATGACTGTCAATACAGTATCAGACTTGTCCCTTGTTTTGCTTGTATAATTTGTCCTGTATTGTTTTCATATTGTTTTCATAGTTGTTTGATGTTTATTGATGCAAGTGGGTTCTAAGATCGTAGTAAAGATGTTTGAAATGTTCTTTTATTAAGAGTTTGAAAAAAATGTATGTTGCTAATGAGATTCACTAGAATCAAGTGTAAGGAATCTGAAGCTTTAGTTGTATACTTCTAACTTTTTTTTATATAGAAATCAACATTGTGTAGTACTAAAACTAATATGTTTTCTTATTTACAAACCGAATGACATTCATATATAGTCTGATATAATTGTTTCAAACAAAATAATATACGTGAAAAGTAAAAAGCCCACATGAACCTGATCAGTTCTCACATTAAGAAAATATCTAAAAGAGCTTTAAAACGTTATAAAAATTTTCAGTGAGCAATCAATACATTAACTTACCAGCTCTCCTTATGAGAGAAGAACCTACTTACATGAAAGAAAAAAATGTATAAACTTTTAAAATATAAATCAGGAATTGTTTATATTTTGATGCAAAAAAACTTTTAAAATCATTTTCAGGTATATTTCTATTACTGTTTCCAGACATTGTACTATTTTCTAGACCTGTTTTAGATGACTAGGCAATACGAAAATCAAATTGTTTAAACTTCAGTTAGTGTTGTCATAAAAAATGCAATTCTAGAAAATAATATTTGCCTTGGCATGCTAGAGAAAATAATACGTACAATCTGAATTGAGAGTAAAATGTGATTTTTTTGCCAGGTGTCGCTGAGATACAAGGGAGAGCACGTGTGTGGGGGCTCTCTGATCACCGATCGATGGGTACTTACCGCCGCACACTGCTTTGAAGAGTAAGTTATTTAGTGGTATATTTTAAAGTATTGATCATTGAGTGAGTCATATGGGCAAATTAGGTTGTTACCAAGTCTATATTTTTGTCACATATTGCATTAATATTTAAGAATTTAACCAAATATTATTTTTAAAAAAATGGCCTAAAACGAAACAGGAATGAGTGTACCATTGAATTTGAGGCACTATATTTGTTTTTCGCTGTTTTGGATTTTGTTTAAAAAAATTATCTTACACTTTTGATTTTGATCGCATTACAAACTTTAGATCATAGGTAAACAACTTTAAATGTAAAAGGTCTATTTGAGGAATAAAATGAGGACTTGTTAAAAACTTAAATTAGAACATCTATCTCACAAAAAGATGCATCTAAGCTGACTTCAAGTCAACAAATTTCTAAAAATAAGTGGCAACCAGTCGTGGAGTTGTTTATAAAAACGATATTGTTACCGTTCTAATACAACATAATACTTTTAGTAGCTGGTAAACATCTTCAGCGTAATAAAGTAATTTGAAACAGTGGGGGCAAATCTAAACAATGAATTTTGTATTTTGCATAAAACATTTAAAGATGCTTTGCGCAAATATCATATAACTATACTAAATTATTATATATAAAACATTTTGCAGAAGCATTCGCAAAAATTACTTTTTGTAACATAAACTCATGTATACTATATACTACTACTACTACTACTACTACTACTACTACTACTACTACTACTAATAACACAACAACAAAAACAACAACAATTATATTATTATTATTATTATTATTATTATTATTATTATTATTATTATTATTATTATTATTATTATTATTATTATTACCTTAAATTGCTGCTATTTTTAACTCAGCACCCCGCTAACACATTGGACGGTGGCATTGGGCATTCACGACAGTAATCAGGTTCACACCAGTAACTTGTTTTCTACTCAGCATATCGTTTTACACGAACATTACCATGCGGACACGAACCTTAACGACATCGCGCTGATTAAGCTGTCCAAATCAGTAGAAACATCCGGCAAGATGTCTCGTACAATTTGTCTGCCTCATGCTCAGGAATCTTTCGACCATCTTGTCTGCACCGTCACGGGATGGGGTACGACAAGTGAAGGTGAGGAAAATTGTTATTGTGTTTGGTGCTGCTGCTGTTGTTGCAGTGTTATCTTTGTTACATTTACCTATACAATAGAAAGATACATAGCAGAGCTCAAACATATAGAACTAGGTATCTGCGTCCTATTTTTACTTCCTGCAACCATTATCATTGTAAAAATTATTATGTTTATCATTTACAATTTCAAATATTTGTTTCATTTAAAATTCTGTTTACTATACTTGAGCCTCTTTTACCTTTTAAGTGTCATCCTGTTAGACAAACTAATTTATCTTTCGGAAAATTATAGCACTTCGAAATTTAAAGAATGTTTTAGAACTTTAATAGGATCTTTGATTTTTACCCAGAAGGACTACATATTTATTTTTATCAAATCTGAAGAAACGCCGGAGTCATCGTCACAATAACTATAATTAAAAATGTTTATGCAATATAATCAATTAAATTTCCTTCCGCGGGTCATAAATACATACTATCAACAAAGAACACTGATAAGGCTGAACATCGGTTTTAGAGAGACTTAATAATGATAATAACAATGATACAATTTATATATCAATACACGTTTGAGATACTTGAATCTAGCAACACTGTCCAGAAAATGATGAAACTATATAAAACTGGTTAAAATTTCAGAAGGCAGAGATTCATATATTGTCAAGTTTTCATTCTATGACTGAATAAATCACTATCATTGTGGATATCATCTCAGATAAACAGTACACAGCAAAAAGTGTTATGTTCTAAACAGTGTTGAAATCATGCGAGCGATCAATGGACATTAACTAGTCACAAGATTCCGTGTAATCAGGTGGATTACTCAAATATATATATATATATATATATATATATATATATATATATATATATATATATATATATATATATATATATATATATATATATATATATATATATATATATATATATATATATATATATATATATATATATATATATATATATATATATATATATATATATATATACTTCAAATTGGCTCTGTTTTAAAATTCAGAATCAACCACCATATGATAAAGGTTCCTTTTTGTTGTTTATTGCGGTAATGAAAACATATTATTAACCCAATTAAAAGTTGAAAAGAAGGTGGCCATCTTTCATGGACAATTTTAACAGTCAAACATATTCCGTCAGGATTTCACATCCGTATTATTGAATTACACTAAGACTGTGAAGTCTACTTGTTTACAGGGCATTGAATACAGTGAAAGTTGAATGTAGTAAATGAGTTTAAATTATAAACTACATCGTTCTTAAAGTTAACTAAGATCGCTAATGATGGTGGTTCAAAGTTAACAGGATAATAGTTGGAATTCTTATCTGATAATGAGTGAGTTAGGTAAAGTGGCATGAATGAGTGTTGTAGGCCTACGTTAGGTCCAAGCTTGTGTGATAAACTAAAAATCAATATAAGGCTGTAAAATATTGTGCATGAGATACATCTTAGTCATTGCCATGTGATACGTTTACATATTTTAATTACCTTTGAGAATTATCCAAGAATCAATTTATAAATAAAAACTTTACATGAGCAACCAAAAAACATAACGAAAAGAATCAAGGCACATTTTTAAGTAAAGATGATTAAATAATAGAAATTAGTTAGAAATAGAATTTGAAGTATATAAACATTTATGATTATTTTCAAGGATTGCATGTTAGCGTCAGAAAAACGTTCCGGTGGCCTGGTGGTTAGAGCGTCAGCCTTGGATGCGTGAGATCGTGGGATCGATCCCCGACTGAGTCATACCTAAAATGGTACTAATACTGGTCACCCTGGTGTCAGGATAATGTGACTGGATGGGATATAATGTTACATGTCTGCGGCATTATGCACCAGTGATAGATATCACTATAAACTGCCACACCGCAGACATCGTAGCGATTAGACTGAAAAATTGTTAAAGCTACGTTAAAATTCCAAATCACACACCACACACACATCATCATCATCAGAAAAAGATAATACCAAGTATTGAACGTTTATCATCGCTATAAGAATAGTTGATAGGTGAGAAAAAAGAACGAAAGCTAACAGCTTGTAAGTTATTCTGAACACTGCGAAGCTATGAGAAATTTGTAAAAAGTATGGAAATAAGTTTTCATGATCAATGTCAGATCCATTTTTTGGTATGTATTCGTGCCAAACGAGACAATTTCTTGAAGACGCCAAAAGGAACTTTCGTTTAATGACATAAGGGATTACAAGAAAGATAGCATTCGTACCCTATTACTAATAAACAAAATAATTGTTGGAATAATCAAAGAAGAAATGGACTGTAAACAGACTTAAGAATCTTGTTGGCTTAGAGGTAATAAATATTCACCCAAAGCTGCACAATGAGCCGAAGGTACGCAAAGATATTAAGAAAGTTGTCATCCTTATTTAAGCTTGATATGTTTTGTGATTTATTATTTAGCAAATGTATAAAGGGCGAGGAAATAATTTTATGGTATCAAAACAGCATAACTTGTATGACATTACTGTAAATAAGGTTGATTTGTTCATGGTGATGAGAAAAGTTAGTCAATGCTTAAAGCAAAGACATCACTATATGGTTGCGGTAATGGCTTCTAACGTCAAGGTAAATGCCAGTATTCAACTTCTATAGTAAAACAGGCGTTCATGCCACATCCATTGTGTTGTACATTTCAATTTGTTTTCATTTGTATTAAGGTTTTCTTTTCATGTAATCTGTATTTTTATGATTTTCGTCAAAATCTATAATTTAGGCTTCTTTGACTATGATTTTACCTAGCATGATTAGTTATATGCCTTTAACGTCATCTAAGTTAATACATTTATCTATTAGAATCGGCACTAGTGCCACGAAGATAAATCAATAAATAACCATTGTTATTATATCCACATATTTGTTTCCGTTAACTTTACGTTGTCAGAATCGAGCAGTATTTTACGATATTGCACACCTTGATATCGCACTCACGTGCACAACTCGTGTGCCATACAGTCTTAGGGACTACTTTGTAAACAAATCATGTACACTCATGTAGTAGACCCTTTACGTTTTGTTTGATAAAATTTGTTTCTGAGTGAACTAAATCAGCTGTTTCGTGGACTGCAGATACCAGCTGCTTTGCAATATTCCGCGATAACCTTTTTATACATTATTCCAGAATTGGGCTAGCGATAGACGCCATACAGATCATAAAATTGCTCGGGTCCGAACAAATAGTGACAAGGCATAAATAAGTTTTCTTTAATTGGTATTAAGAATGGCAAAAATATACTTACAGTTTTACATCCTGAATTTACTCAGAATGTACTTTCTTAGTTTTATAAATCCGAATTACATGACCCATGTCATGGGTTCCAAAGCCTGATTACACATTTCGAAACTGTACTGTAGTTTTGACTACATTCCAAGTGCAATAACATCCTCCTTACTGCACTCAAAATGAAACGAACATTATATTCCATAGCTTCTTTTTGATAATTACAGTTTAAAGAGTTCATATTTTTCCCACATTATGATTCCAAACATTCAATGACAGAACAGAAACATACACAAATCAGACGTTAAGTCATGAAGAATTGACACAGATAAATCCAGCACATAATCACAATATTTAGAAGAAATAACACAAATACAAAAATCTATTCATTCCAGACCAAATGGAAAAATTTGTTGCAATGCATATTCATTCACAATATGATTCAAAGTTTCCATCTTAAGTAGACCAAAACTACATTTTCTTTAGAAAATGATTTCGACCGCGTACTAAATTCAAATTTGGCTGGGCTGACTTTTGTGCTTATTAATGTTGTTGTTGTGTACTGATGAATTTTTGCTTGTGTATTTAGTTTCAAATTGAAATGCAGCATAAATTCATTTACTCTGTTTCTTGTAGTGCATTTTTGTTTATATAATTAAGCCTTAGGTAGAAAAAAAAGTGAGCATATAATAAAAAGGTTACTGCATTTGTATGGGAAAATATGAACTCGTTCAGTATATTGCATCCAAAAATCTCGTTCATATTTTCCCATACAAATGCAGTAACCTAAAAGCGTTATTTATAGGATTAGTATAATTATATTGTCATCTTTGAATAATCATTTGTAAGAGTTTTAAAATAATGTTAAACAGATAATTAAAACATAGTCGAAGAAGGGCTAATATTTGGTTACCATGAAATCTATAGCAGCCCTATTTTCTCACACCACCTAAAAACATTTTATTCGTCTTTCCTAAATATGTTATATAAAAATTAAAAAATTACCGACCATTAAGGTATTCTATTTAATTTAAATACACAATATATTTAATATGTTTTGTTATTGTTATTTTTTGTACATACGCGACGTAGTAAATCTACATTTGAATTGTATCTACGTTTGTGTCTGTAATTAGCTAATTATGTCTTGTTGAAATTCAGTTAATTTATGATGGTTGCTGTTCCATCTATAATCATGAATATATCTCAAATCAAATCATATACAATAATCTTATGAAGACTTAACTTGTAAGAATTTAGTTATTAATTAATGTGTGCTTTTATTTTTCGTCTTAGAAATACCATGTTGCTTCTATAAACTGATATCTCAGTTTGTATCCAAGAGAATAAAAAATAATAGCTAATGCTTTCACAGTAATCATGTTATTTCCTATCACTCGTTTGCAAACAAACCCTTTCTGCATTAATTTATAATTTCTGTTTAGTGTATTAAACTCCTGTTATACTCATTGGTATTGTATCTCATTACATTTGTTGAAGTTGTATTAGCTGCCGAATCAGTAATGCTATCTTTTGTGAAATAGCATTAGGAAAACGGAATACATTTTACGGAAATATTGTTATTGGAACTAACCATTCATTCAAGGTAATGGTATCGTACTGAAAATAAAAATATTTTCGAATTCATAATTCTTGATAATACCATCTATCACTTCAGCAGCCATTGCTACTATAACGATAAATCCCGAGGAATAAAATGTCAGGTTTCCTAAATTGCTTTTTTTTCTCTTTAATCTGGATACATTCCCTAGTTTATTTCTGTTGTATTTGTATTAATTTTCCCACCAACTTTATGAGACTTATCTATTTCAGTTTTGAATGCATACATTTCATAGATAGATAGATAGATAGATAGATAGATAGATAGATAGATAGATAGATAGATAGATAGATAGATAGATAGATAGATAGATAGATAGATAGATAGATAGATAGATAGATAGATAGATAGGTAGGTAGGTAGGTAGATAGATAGATAGATAGATAGATAGATAGATAGATAGATAGATAGATAGATAGATAGATAGATAGATAGATAGATAGATAGATAGATAGATAGATAGATAGATAGATAGATAGATCTTTCAAATGTAATAATTTTCAGACGGTCCCGACGCGCGGTATATGATGGAAGTCGACGTTCCCATTATTACTAATAGCATGTGTTCTTATTACAATGAAGGGGGTATACATACTTCAAACATCTGTGCCGGATACACTGCAGGGGGTAAAGATTCCTGTCAGGTACCTGTCTGTCTGTATGTCTCTCTCTCTCATTTTCTTTTTCTACCGCGTGTAAAATGTGCAGTTATTCCCCTTAGGGACCAATATAATTTTATGATGACTTCTATTATTACATCGTGCATTCAGCTAAGATTCACTTCAATGCACACATACGTGTTGTTTTACCTTAAGGTTCCAAGATTCACTCCAAGAACACATACATGTTGCTTTACCTTGGATTTGTTCCATCCTTTTCGTGCTATTAATGGTTATAGCATTAGCAGAAAGGGTCTAAGCGATACATAACGCTAATCATAGCAAGGGATTTAATGTATTCACTGGAACGAATTAAACTCTCAGAACTTTTTGTTTATATTGGTGTCTTTCTGTACACATTTATTTCACCATAATATTTTTTTGTGGGAGACAGTGATAAGCGCATTACTCTCTGTTTGGTGAATAACTGTCAACTCTACCTTTATGAAAGTCCTTTGACTCTTGTGTGTATAAAGAACGCAGATAAAATGACCGTTCATCAAACTATTTTTAATCAATTCATAAATCAATTTATCTATTAATCAAACTTTCATCATATGGATGAAATCTGCCCCCCTTCCATCGATCCCCTCCCATCTCTCTCTCTACCTACCTACACACACACACACACACACACACACACACACACACACACACACACACATGACAGGCACAACACGGTAATAACCAGAAGGGCCGGTTGCCTAGCAAAAGCGCAGCCGATTGCAGTATCGGAAATATCGAGAAGTTAAGTCCTGATTCTTCTAAATCGTTGACCAATGGTGCTGAAAATGTAAAAATGGTTTTAATAAAGTGAACTCTATCGAGTTGTCCATATTGTACCTTAAACTAAATTTTTATTTGTAATATGCATTTGTAATTGACCTTTTTATGCAACCATCCTTTGGATCCTTTATCAAAGTCATGGTGAATCTTTTTCCGTTCTTCCTCAGAAATGAAATCTCTTCGTCAAAATCGTACATGCTGTCTTCAAACTGATAAGTTCACTATTACAATTGAACTGAATCATGCGAACACATTCTAACAGCTTAGCAGCCTTTGCTCTACACTTGCTCTTCTATCGTATTCTCTCTAGGGTGACTCGGGCGGACCACTGGCCTGCAACCATAATGGGGCGTGGAAGCTGGCGGGTGTCGTATCCTGGGGTAATGGATGTGCACAGAAGCGCTCCCCGGGGGTCTATACCCGTGTGACATCATTTTTGGACTG